TATCTTCACTAACATGAAATTCCTCTTCTGAATCTTTACCCATATATCACATCTTTTTGTAAAGGTACCAAGAGTATGTGCAGGAGTATCTAGAAAAGTATGAGAGTTATTGCTCACTAAACAAAAGCTTAGAGTCGGACAGGTAACGTGAAGCATAACACACTTGCTTAATCAAGCTTTCAAATGAAGTTTCTTTACAAACACTTTGGTATAATTCTTTGGGTTTATCAGCTTTATGCAATGCATCCAACTTATGTGTGTTAATATTGAATGATTTAGGATTAAGTTCAGTAAGCTTGGAAAAGACCTAGGGGCTTCTAAAGGAAGGGACATGGAGAGATATTATGATATTTTGGAACAATTGAAAGAATCGTATCGTCAATGTGGTGCAGTAAGTTTTTCGACTTATGAGTCCTTTGATTGCTATTGTGGCTGGTATGGATTATGGAGCAAGTAATTCTTTACTGCTTACATCTAAAATTCGATTGAATACTCCCTCTGTCCAACAATTGTTTCCCCGCTTTGACCGGGCACAAAGGTTAAGAAAAGTTGATATTTACATTGACATTTGCATTCTACCCCCAAGCTTGAGGAAAAAGTCTACTGCGATTGAAAACTGAGCTTGTTGCTATGGTTTCCTCAACGAAGCATCCCCAGTAAACATTTCGGTTTTAGATTCACCATAAATTCACACTAATTTCAGACTCATAGTTTGCACGTGTTTCACCTTTATTGCATTCTGCCGTCTTCCGCCAAGACAAATAAAGGTTGATCGCCTGCCCTAGTGTCAGATCCATTGCCTGTGCCGTCTTTAGCCACAATAAACAAAAAGTTCACAACTCCTTCAGATCCGACCGAGATGAGGCTAGATTACTTCAGATTGAATGAACAGGAGGAACTTCAACTTTGGAGCTTCGGTGTGGGAATCAATCGTAGGTGGCGGCGACAGTTGCTGGTGGAGGAGAAAGACGAATGGGGAGGATGAAGAAGATGGTGGAGAAAGAAGAAGTTGGGGGAAGAAAAGAAAATGGCGGAGGATGAATTGAAAGAGACGATGGAGGAAGAAGGGACAGAGAGGACACTAGGATGATGAAGAAGAAGATGGGGAGAAAGAAGAAAGTGGATAGGAAGAAAGAAGACTAGTGAAGAATTGAGAGATGGAAGAGAGTTAATTTAATTAGGCTTGTGGGTAAATTGGATATTTTAGTGTATTTTTATTGCCAAACTAGGAAATGAGGAAGAAATTTGTGGACGGCCCAAGAAGGAAAGTGGAAAGAAATTAATAATGAGGAAGAAATTTGTGGACGGCCCAAGAAGGAAAGTGGAAAGAAATTAATGGACGGAGGGTAACTTTTTACTAAACCTCTTGTTGATGTTTTGGTTTAATAGGGTAGCCTGCACTCATACGACACCTTTTAGATGTATTTATTAAATTACATGATAATGTAATTGTGCAGAAGTTTAATACTTCTTGAGAGGAACAGATCTCCTTATTCTGCGCCATTTGGCCCTGCATTTTTAAAACACTATTCTTTGCGGCATGATATTTTCTCAAAAAATAAAAATATTGAGGCATACACCTTGCGACAAAATTAATGTTTGTGTGCTTTGTTGTAAATAACTTGTTTCATTATATCGAAGAGTATGAACTGCATATTGATTGCATTCTTCTCACATTAAAACACATTGCTGCAGAGGCATAAACGGCTGAAGAAAATATTTGTTGTGCTTCATGAGGAACTGAAGGTGATACGTAGTATTATTAATTACCCATATCTTACTATGCGGGTGGGTTAATAAATGATAGATATTATAGTTAATCCACTAAATACCTTTATTTTGCATGCACACTTGCACATTCAAATTTCTCATTTATTATATTTGCTTGTAGTGTTTCTTGAGTTTTTAAACCAAGATACATTTAATTATGGACATTATGGAAATAGAGAATTAATTACATGGTCAAAGATGATAGTGAACTTTTTTTTACGAAACCAAAGAGAGTGAAATAATGTGCAACATTTGTGGGGAGGGAAGGAGTATTTAGTTCCATGTACATATCTGCCCCTTCAAAGCCTCAATTCTCATAATAAATAGTATCAATCTTTGGTTGCAGCATTTGAAACAAATGATGACAGAGTTTGCTGCTTCCTGTGCCAAAAGTTGACAAGCACCAGGATCTCTCTCCTCAGTTTTGTCTCTCTTTGGCTGCCTTGAGACCATGTGACAAGGGACGTACCCTCTTCTTCTCAGGTGGAAATGTGATATCGAATGATCCATTGAGATTGTCGGACATCTGATGTCTTTGGGCCCAAGGAGAAGCCGAATGATTTCGTGCTCAATTAAGATGCGTGGAGCGCAGCAGTATATGTACAAGGAGAAGGGAAACGCCTGTAATAGTAAAAGCAAATATCAATTGGATGTAAATATAGATCATAGGGAACACATCTCTGTTTTAGCTCATTCTTTTTCCGGTTTTCTGTAGATTTCAGAGAGCAGCTCCAGCACATATTATTTATTTATTATTTTAAAATTTTCTTGTAGCTCAAAAGGATGACCCTAGAAATTGTTTGTACATCCTTCAGTGATTATATAATCAATTAATTTATTATGAAGTAGCATTAATTTTACATCATACTTTTTCGACTTATTGAAGCATAAAGAATTTATGTTCCAATGAGGTTTGAACATGTGACATTTCATTTGGACAAGGTTATCTCTTTAGTTTAATTCTTTCCAGCTAATGCCTGATTCGTTTGCATCATATAAATAATTCGCACTCATGTTTATCAGTATTTAATTAGGGCATAATGGCATCAAATAATACCTTTTCCTTGTTTGCCAAAAATAAATTTACTTTTTAAATTGTACTTTCTCCATCCCAAGTTAAGTTGTTTTTTTACTATTCACAAGATTAAATTTTATTCACTCTCTTTTCGTCTTTTAGTTATTAATTTGATAAATTAATAGTCATGTCACCTTTTGTTTCGTAGAATTTTTGATGTACTTTTTAATTATGTATATTTTTATTTTTTACTTCCACCCTAATTTTCAAATTAATTATATTGAAAGTAATTTCTGGATATAACAGTGCAAGTTGATGATGGGACAGGACAAGCGTACCCTTATCGCCTACCCTGCAGCACGAAGTTCAAACCTGACAATGGCTACAGTAGAAATAACAGGGATAGCTACAGTGTATTTGAATCATGTACTTATTTATTCCTATAAATACAGATGTAAGCCTTTGAGATGAGGGAGGCAATGCAAGAGAGAAAAAGAGAGAATAATATATACACAGATGTGTTTTGAAAATCACAATCTGGATAAGTCTCATAGAGATAAATCCAATATATATAGACTATTTGTGTAATCTTGATTGGTAACCAAAGTTAGACCCAAATTAAGAAATAAATAAAGAATTTGTTTATGATGTGAAATTTTAAAATGATTTATTTAAATAAATCATAATATGAATTAAATGTGAGAACTTTTTTGAATAAAGGTCGACTAAATTAATTTTGACTCTGTCAAAGTCAAACACCCAAAAATATGATGTCAGAAAAAGTAACAAATAAATATAAAGGTGCAATCAGAATTTAATTCCGTGAAAGTTAGGCCAAACAATATACCCCAACTAGGACCAAATTAGTCCCAATCAAGGAATAACATGCTGAATCTCCTTAAGTCGCACTATTGCCAAACGAAGGTTGTGAAATTGGAAATCCTACTCAGCACGCCTTGGCAACATCCTCTTCCTCTTGCTATATAAGCATACTTAGCTCCTCCCATTTCTTCACCAATCCTTCCAAAGTTAGTATCTTTGTGTTCTTTGTTGAGTGGAGAGTTCATTGGTGCTGCTTAGAAAGCTTGACGTCGCTAGAGTTTGGAGTAATCGTCATCGGAATTTTCGTCGGAAAATTTCCAAAACATTCGTTTAAGCCCATAGATATATCTAGTGACTAGAATGTTCTTATAGATCGACAGTTTCTACGTTTATAAACGGTCGTTTGGCTGAGTTTTGTGTATGACATGTTTGAAGAACCAAGAATCATAAACTTTGAAATTGTTGTTAAAACTACAAATTAATGATACCAAAATAATCTATGAACATTGGATAAAATTTCTATGTAGTTCAATTGATGTTTGGTGACTAAAAATGATAGTTCTGAAAAATGGACCGAAGGAAGAAGATGATGAAAAGTACCAAAAACACTTCGGTGGATTGATCCAGGGTGTTGGATCGATCACTTGCAGCAAGAGACAAAGTACGGTGGATCGATCCATGGTGTTAAATCGATCACCTAGGATTGATTCTGCAAGTAGGATCAATCCTGGGTGCTGGATCGATCCCCCAAGCTATGTGACCCGAAAAGTTTTTCGAAAATACTATTTTTGGAGTTCTAAAATCCTATTTTTTGATATCAATCAATTTTGATCAACATAAAGATGTTTTCTTGAAATAAATGATGTTTTTGACAAACAAAATCTTATGTGATGTATGACGGTAACCTAGAGTGTTAATACTCAATGCTAGACCGCTATTTGTTATTGGATATATTATTGATTGATGATTACGATGAATGTTACTGGTTGATGATTATGATGAATATTATTAATTGATGATTATGAAAATGATGTGTATTGTTAAGGATATCTAGAAGAACTCTAAGATATATCCATGTTGATGTTGGTTTCTAATACTATTTAGAAGACCTCTAAGAGATTCAGTGTCTTGGGTAAAAATGTATGTACAGGATCCACAAACAATACTTAATCTGTAGCGAATCGGGTTGTTACTAATTCGGTATTCACATGCATATTATTTTAAAACATTTAATAATAAAATATCAATTTACATTTATTTAAAAAACAATTCATAAATAATCAGAGTAAATAATTCAAACATTGCGAAAGCCTTTAAAATAACGTCGTCAACATTCTTGTAGTTTAACAAAATAAAAGTCAACAAGTATTCAATTCAATTTCAGACAGCTTCAGGCCATCCACTAGTGTCACGCTTCACTGTCCTCCGGGCTGCTCTTCATCTAATTCTTGGCCCCTACCTGTAAAAACAGGGAGAGTGGAAGTATCCAACGTTAGAACCAACTCATAGACTAGCACTCATTAACATATAGTCATAAAATATCAGAAGAATCAGAAATTACACTTACCAAATAGTATAATCCATCATTCATTCATTCCTACGTCCGTTCGTTTCATATTCTTGTGTTTTGTTACAACACTTATTAACATATTCGACTAAAGTCTAACTAAACACACTAGTCATGGACAGTCTTGGAAAGGTGTCCAAGAGGCCAAGCTTGTAAACCCAATGGAAGGTATCCGATTGGGCGGGTTGGAGCCCCTACCACGGAGCTGCCGAGGCAGGTGCTTTAACCCTAGAGACTATCAGATGTACGCCGACACTTGCATGACCTTAAGTTTCAAATTCTCAATCCTATAAGTGTTTCAAATCTCTAGTTCAATTCAGATCGGTCCAATACTATTAGGTGTCTCATTTGCACAATTTCAATTCAACATGTTACTGTTGCCAACTCCGTAAAGTTGGATTATTTTATAGTCAAACTAAATCTTAAAGCCCAAATTATAATGAATGGGTCGAATTGCACCCAGTAGGGATGGCAACGGGTCGGGTTCGGTCGGGTTTGAGTATAATAAAACCCGACCTAACTTGGGTCGGGTTCGGGTTTGATTTTGGCGGGTCGGTTTCGGATATTTATTTTTTTTCGGTTCGGATTCGAATTGAGATTCGGTGGGTCGGTTACGGTCAATTTCGGGTTTGAATACTATTTAAACTATTCATGAAAAATTTAAGATTGTAATGCATTAGAAATTAAAAATTTTAAAGATGATATAAAATTTAAGATACTACCAAAAATAATTATAACCGAATAACCCTTAAAGATGTCAAACGGAAGTCGTCCAATCTCGTTGGGGGCGACGTCAGACTAGAAATCTGCAACCGCTTCATCTTCCCGCACGTGTGGAACAAACAATATTAAGTTTCAATTAATAATATATGGAGTACAATGAAAATAGCACATGTGGGACACACAATATTAAACCACAATAAAAAATGAAACATAAAAAATGTAATAAGTTTTAAAATATTAAAAATATGTGCATAAAAAATACATGAAATATAGGAATTTAGAGTTATTTAAAACTTATTGAAAGTCGGGTACATGTCGGGTCGGTTCGGGTACAGGTCGGGTCGGTCAAATATACTAACCCAAACCAACCCGACAAAAGCCGGGTTCGGTTTAATTTTTTTCGGGTCGGTTTCGGATATTTAATTTTTCGGTTCGGATTCGGATATAATAACCTCCGGTCGGGTCGGTAAAAGTCAGATTCAGATAGAATTGTCATCCCTAGCACCCACCTTGGAAATCCCGGGGTCAATTTGCAAATATTAGAAACTTGTTTTATTCCTCAATTATTAGAGAGGAAGAGAGTTGGAAGTTGACTCCTCTTTCTCCTCTTCCTGGCGCAGCACCGAACACAGAGCAAGGCAGGGAAAAGGAGACTCATCCTAACGACGTCCATCCTCCGGTGCCGGCGGCGGAAAAACAGCTCGGCGACCAACAGCGGCGGCAGCGTTTCCCCCACTTACGGTGAGAGCCCTCGCAGCAGCGGCAACACGTACTCTCCACCAACACCGGCGGCAACGCGCTGGGCACGACGGTGGCACACCTCCGGCAGCGGCAGCCCAGCCACCAGTCCGGCGGCAGCGACTTCTCCCGCAGCGAATCAGCGACACATTGAGGGAGTAGCAACCGATTGAAGTAACAGAGCAGATGGACGAGAAACAGAACAGAGAAGGGGACAGGAGAACGCAATAGAGCAGAACCGAGCAAGAAAAGTACAAACTCCCAATTCAATTCAATTCAATCAATTAATTCAACAATTCAATTCACAAATTTATCATCAATTACACGAAAATACATCAACGAACCCTAATCTACGAATTAACTCTAACGACAGATAAATTACGCACCTTGAACCGGCGAACAATCCCGGTGAGGAACCCGATGTCCGGCGAAGCTTTCCGGCGACTCCTCCTCTGGACGGAAGCTGCGTGCGAAGAAGATAAGACAGGAGGAGGTAGGGGTGAACAAGGACCGAACTGATCCTGATATTTTCCGAAAAAACCAAGAATACCGAACCGAAAAATACCGAACCGATATACTACCGAAAAGAAACCGAACCGTACCGAACCGAACGGTCGGTCCGGTATTTGGGAACGGTACGAGGTTACTTCGCATACTGAAATTCCGAACCGAACATATATACTAATATATTATAAAAATAATAATCTTTTTATATTTCTTCATTAAATAAAAAATTTATATAAACAATTTAGTTTAATTTCATTATGTTTAAATTGCACTTTAATAAGAGTTTTTTTTTTGTAGATGAGTATAAGAATATTAAAAAATATTTGAAATAATACTTTATTATCACTCGTTCTCCTTAGTATGTGAAATATAAACTAACTTTCATAAGCATTACTTGTATTTTATTTTTTCTTTTTTAATTTTTTTTATCTTTCTTTGGTTAAATTACTTTTAATTTCTCAAAAATAAAAAGTTTTGTTATATTTTAAGATATAAACTAAGTACGTATATATTCATCCCAATTTGTACCGAAACCGATACCGAATCATCCAAAACCATACCGAACCGATGCTTCGGGAACGGGATCGGTACAACGTAAAATCCCATACCGAACCGAAATATTTGGTACGGTATCGGTACGAGCGAAATACCGTACCATACCGTACCAGGCTCACCCCTAGGAGGAGGGTCGTATATATGCCACCGTTTCTAATTGTAACGGAAATGGTTTCTTCCTCTTATTATTGTTATTATTATATTATTAAATCTCTTTACATTAATTTATTAAAGTGTATTGACTATTTCCCTCACTACGGTTCACACGAAATTCCAAACTTGACAAACAATATGTTGTTGGTCGCCTTTTTTCGAGACCTATCCAAAAACTTAATTTTTAATTCAAATGGTCAACCTTACAAATAATTCATATTTGGAGTCAATAAATAGTATATTTATTTTTCATTAAAATAACGGCTCACTACTAAGCCATTTTCAAGGCGTTACATGATCACTCGTTTAGGGATACCACCCAACCCGGCAGTGAGCATTCCGTTGTTCGATTTCTGGTTGTACCTTAAGCGAAGGATATATTAAGATTTGAAAAACTTTTTTGAAAATTTATATCTTAAACTAGACCTAGCTTAAGGGTTGGTTAGGAGTACCTTAAACAAGAATTAGTTTAAGAGTTGGTAAATATTAAATTATCCTTAGACTAAAAATAGTTTATGAGCATTGTTGACACTATGAATATTGAATACGAATGTTGAATATTGAATGATGAATACTGAATATTGATTATTGTATATCTGAACTGAATATTATGTGCATGCTATCAAATAATTTGATTATGAATTGAGATTTAGTTTATATGAATGTTCGACGCATTATATATCCTTACTCAGCTCCAACGCTGAGCGTGTAGTATGTTTTATTTGCTACACAAAGGTAAACAAAAAGAATGAAATGACGTATATTGAATGTTGAATGTTGAAAATCGATGACTACCCGGCATATGGTAACTTATCATCAAGAGTGTTTCACGTTGCGTGCTATGATTCTTTGGACAATCAATGACTACCCAGCATATAGTAACTTATCTGGTTATTAAATTAAGGGAAAGTATGCATGTTCGATATGTGAGGAGTATACTTCAAGTGTGTGGCTAAAGTACAAGAAAAAGTCAGTCTTCTTAGGTCACCGCCGATTCTTAAAACGTCATCATCCTTACCGTTGCATGAGAAAGACTTTCAATGGTAAAGCAGAGAATGAGGTTGCTCCGAAAGTATTGACTGGCAAAGCGTTGCACGAAACAAATAAAAAACATAAAACATACTTTTGGAAAGAAATAGAGTGTTGATCCAAACAGTCCAATATGGAAGAAAAGGTCAATATTTTAGGAACTACCTTATTGGGAGTGCTTATCCGTCAGGCATTGTCTTGATGTGATGCATATAGGAAAAAAATATATGTGATAGTCTTATTGGCATCCTCTTAAATGTTTCTAACAAGACAAAGGATGTTGTAAATACAAGAAAAGATCTAATGGACATGGCATCCGTACTGAGCTTGGTCCGCAAGAAAAAGAACATTGCATATTTCTACCTCCTACTTGTTACCCACTTTCTAGAGAAAAAATTAACTCTTTGTCAATATATGCGTGATATAAAGGTTCCACAAGGGTTTGTTGGAAACATTAAGATTTGTGTGTCAATGAAGGATTTGAAATTGAACGGTCTTAAATCTCACAATTGTCATGTACTAATTTAGTGTTTCTTGTCGGTGGAAATTAGATCCATTTTGCCGACGAATGTGAAGGGGGAAATAACTAGACTTTGTTATTTTTTCAATTCAATATGTAGTAAGATTGTTGATGATGAAACGTTAGATCGGTCACAAAAGGCATGATAGTCACCTTATGTCAGTTTGAGATGTTCTTTCCTCCATCGTTTTTTAATATCATGGTCCATTTAGTTGTGTGTTGTAGTCACACATGGATCAGTTTTCCCCCGTGCACTAGGAGATGTGGTAAACAGTGTTCCCCTCCTTCTCCACCAGGTCAAGGTCTCTGTGATCTTGGTTCTTCCTGGCATGGGTGAGTATAACATTCTTTGTCTGACTAAGCATATGAAGACGGTAGCTGATTGGGAGGGAGCTTCGTCGCATGGCCGAAGTCGTTGGTGTTTCTTAGAAAAATTAGAGTTAATGTATTTTGTCTTTTTTCATTGTACATCATTTGATGGTCAATTACATGTCTTTGTTCTTGGATTTGTTTGTAGACCCCAGTCCACACGCCCCGCCAGGGTGATTTCTCCTCGAACAAACATCGTCCCATTCTTGGCGTTCCCCCCACTACTCCTCCGATATCTCCCGTGCAGGATGTTGCTTCCCAGAGTTTGTACACCCATTTTGGCCGAGATGCAGAGAGTTGTGTCAGTGGCTGACACTCACATCTGCCCTGCCTATCATCAACATTATTCTCGATCTCGAGTGCATGACGCATGTGGAGGAGACGGAGTTGAGGATGTGACTTGAGAACATGAGGGAGTTTATGCAATGTGAGGAGGTAGATTAGACCATCATGATTTTATACTCGAGGGATGACAAGTGTTACATACACACATCATCTAATTATGTTCTAATTATACGGGAGTTCATGTAAAATGTGTTCTATCTACTTGTCAAATATCAAGATTATTGCACGGATACATGATGGAGCACGACATCACGAATGTTTGGCTCTGTTGTCCGGAGAGCGTGCAGTACGTGGTACATTATGGGGATCATATCTATCCGGATAGAGCCCTCGATGCACATTAATCGCGACCCTGGATACTTATGTCGTTGTATCTTCCGAGCTCGTATGTTGTCTAAATCCTTTAAAATAAGTAATCAAGTTTTTTTATCTATTATTGATTATGAAAGTAATTACTAAGGTTTCTTTAATTTGAATTTTAGACATCATTAGGTGTTGGTTGTAATAGGCTTGTTCCAAAACAAAGTGTATTTCTTTAATTCACTCTTCGCGACAGGAGGACATAAGAAAATGAGAGTGAAGACTTTCATGAACGAGGAAGTATTGATATGAGTTATATGATTTGATTAATCATATTGAAGGAAGTCTTTATTTGTCACAAATTATTTTCATAATGATTCATTTTTTATTTTTTAAGGTCTTGGTGGTTACTTCGGGAACAACACATGCTTCAGCTTAAGGCTAAACCAAATTAATTGGATTGATCTACTCGGAGTACGACAACAGCCCGGGGGGAATATAGTGTGGATATTATACGATGCAATTTATGTGGCTCATTGTCTCTAAGTGTGCTCAGTATTCGATAGTGTTATCCGACGTAAGTTTCGTTATTAATTTTAGTGTTCTCTTCTAATTACTTAGATTTTTATCTTTATGTTTATTTTGGATTTATTTGTTAAATATAGTATGTATATATTTAATATTAATGATGTAATCCTTGTACACATGGTAGTTTCCATGTATAGTTTCCTTCCGTAGTTAGGATTCTTTTGTAACTATTTATACGAGGTTTAGCCCTCCGTTGTTAATTATAGAAATCATTCTTCATTATCTTTTTATGTTTTTGTTCTTATTGAGAGTACATTGTAAAGAGTAATTTTTTGGGAGAAAGACCAAAGTAGGACTAAAACTTTGTAAATATACCAAAATAGGACTTCCATGTTAACCATGGTCATATACATTACCAAAAAAGCATAGTAATTTGCACATGTATATATACTTCCTCATTACCACAATGCAAGGTCACATTATCACAGTGCAAAGTCCTATTCCGGAAAAAAAACATGAAAGTCCTATTTTGATACTTTTATCTATATTTTACTTCTATTTAGGATGATTTCTACAAATTTTCTAGAATATTGGAGCCAACGGAAGTTGAAGTGTAGTGTGTAAATTTTAAAAATAGTACATAAACTTTCGCGAATTGAAGCCAAAGAATGGTACATTGTTTTTTTGTTGTTTTAATTTTCTCTTTGTTTCTATTTGCCATTTTTTATTTGTTCCTTTTTTCTAATCTTTATTTTTGTGTCCTTTTTCCGTTCTTCTCATTTCCTACCTTTTTTCTTTTTTTTCATTTCGTTTTCTTTTTTGTTTTTCTTTTTTTTTTCATGTTTTATCTTTTCCGTTGTTGTTTTCTCTCTTGCTTTTTTTTCTTTTGTTCCTTTTTCAACTCTTTTTATTTTTTGATACCTTTTCCGACCTATATGTTTCTTGTTTCAATTTACTTAAAATTAATTATTTGTTTTTATTTTCTTTTCTATTCACGGCAAACTTTTTTTATTTTTGAAAAATGAATAAATAAATCTTTTCTTTTCGCACGTTTTTTTGCTGCCTTTTCGCAAATTCCATTATTTCTGTTTTTTCTCTTTTTCATTTTGCTCACGCACTCCATAAATAAAAGTAGAAAGATTTCTTTCTTTTTTTATCTTTGTTGGTGTTCTCTCTATGTCCCTCTCTTCCTTTTACTCATTTTTTCTTCTTTTT